AAGGGTGTCTGGCCAAATGGGTGGGGATGGGGTACTGAAATTGAGTCCATGTTTGTTGGCCAAGCTGTGCATCCTGCTGTAAAACTGTATCTCCCTGGGGATGGAGTCTAACTTGTACAAAGGCACCGTTGACTCACCAACCTGGGTGCCCAGGGAGCTGCTTCTGCATGGAGGGGGTACCTTTTTCAAGTTCACTCAAAGTAGTGTATGGGTTAGGTGGCCCTGGATTATGGTCGCCCATTTGCATGTTTTAATTGAATGAAGCACTTTCTGCTACAGGAATTTAGGAAGAAGAGGGGACTTGTTTATTTGGGGAGTATTGTGCATGAAACAAAACATGGAAATGACAACAATTGTTCTTCCCCTCACTTTCGCAGCCCTGTTCTCGAGGTGGACGATTACCCAGATCTAGACATTCTTCCTAAGGATGTGATGTTTACTGTCCTTGCAGAACCAGGGTAGGACTGAGCTGAACTTTTGATTGTTTATCTTGCCTGACAGGTGACATCGTGGGAGTTGAGTTGGGTCTCCCTGGATCATGTGAACATGAAGTGAACTCTGCTTCTCCCTTTAGCAAACACTCACTGAAGGGCAACCCAAGGTGATTCATTTTCACTGTGTTCCCCCTGCCTCCCCCAGCCCCCCGCCCCACTTATCAAAGAGCTGTGCCTCCGGACCCCTCTCCTTCACTGGTGAGTGCATGGGGATGGCAGCTCAGGAGGATGCTTTTCCCTTTTTTACTTGTTTCACCGTAAGATCCAGCAGGAGGAGTGCTGGATCCAGCATTCTAGCGTTCTTGGGCTGATAGGTTGACGAGTTTAATAAATCCAAAGGTTCTTCTGGCTAATCCTGGGAACAGTATAAGCTTTCAGAAAGAGGAGGCGGAATGTAAGGTAGGCTTGGAAGATGGAGCTATGAAGGAGGCAACTTTTTTTTTTTCTCTTTTGTTTTTTAGAATTAGCTGCGTTTTTATGAGTGAGCAATTACCTTTGCTCGTTAATTGAGCAACAAATTCCCTGAATGCATACTGGCAGCTAGCATGTGACCGCAAAGCTGCAGCACATTTTCAGCTTGGTTTATATGGAATTAAATCTACAGTTGTTAGACATCTTCCACTTTCAGTAAACAGCACATATTCAGTTTGTCTTAGTGGTTACACTGAGCTTACTCTGACATCCTATTTTTCATAATTATCAGGCTGACTCTGTCCTTCAATTTTTTCATGATTCTTTATCTTGTTTTCTTTTGACTAACGTATTTAAACAGCTTATTTGTTATATCTCTTTTCCTAATCAGGCAAAAATACCCAAAAATCTACGATGCTTTGAACCTTTTTCAGATAAAAGAGGAAATTCAGCTATTTCTATTGAGTATAATACTTAGGGTATCCCTTATGCTCTAAAGTCACTCGGTTGCTTCTTAAATATCAAAAATGTATTGCATGCAGCATGGCTTGCTGATAAAGAACAGTATCTTGTTTGGTGTAGTGAATGAAAAATTATCATTACAAGTTGGCTGGTTGAATTTACTTCCAAACATTGAAATTTTTGCTTCAGATGGACATTAAGGAACCTGTCAGTTCTTAGTTTTTACCTGTTTACATTGAAGTTAGGCACAAGTTTGGGAAGAAAATAAACTGTCAACATTAGGGTAAAACAAAGTGACAACACAGAAACCTTTGTATGTGTCACCAGTTTCTCCCAATAGTGATGTACCTGCCACAAGCAAGTATTTTTCTCTTAAATGCCTGAACTCCAGGGGTCCCCAGGGTGGCCTGCAACCTACTCTTGGCTCTCTCCACTCAGTGCCTCTCCATGTCCCTTCTCTTTGCCCGTTCCATCTTTTGCTCACAGATTAACACTTTCCATAGAAAAGGTCTGCCTTTGTGCAGCCAGGCCCACTACAGGATTTGAGAGGCCTAGGGCAACATGAAAATGCAGGGCTTCTTGTTTAAAAATGATTAAGAATTTCGAGATGGTGGTACCAGGACACTGAAGCAGATGTGGGCCCCTCTGAGCGTGGGGTCCAGTGCAGCTGCATAGACTGCACCCACGAAGCCAGCTGTGTTCAATCATTCCTGGCTAATGCCAGAGGGTCCCTTTGCTAGAAGTCAGCACTGGCCAGGACCACGCCTGCCCTTCTCTTGACTTGGGATTTCTCAGCTGCTCTGTTTCTGCTTGATGTGCCTTGTACAATCCTCACCAAGTCCTTCTGAGACCCCTGCTGGCTTAGGAGAGGGAAGGGGTGTGTGTGCTTGGAACCGCCCTGCACGCAGAACCAGGAGATCTGGCAGGGCTCTCTCTCCAGGTAGGGCTGAATGTGGACTAGGATTATATGACAACTGACCTTGTGAGTGCTTGCTACAGAGAGACGTGGCCCTGGGGCCTGGCAGTCAATGAAAGCCTGTCCTGAAGAGATAACAAGGGTAGCATTATTTAAGCTGTGGTTTTTTCTTTTTTTGTATTTTGCATAGTCATTCTTTCTTGCACAAAACTACTCTTGAAAATCCATCTAGAAGTAGTAGGAAATCACATTATACATTACCTTATTCATTAAAAGCAATTCGGACTTTTGACGGGAGGTGCTCCCTGGTAAATGTAGGAGGCTTTATGCGAAGTGCCTCTTCAGCGATGGACTCTAACCTCCCGCCGTGATGATCGTGTGCTCGGGAAGGGACAGCTGGAGAGGAAGTACCTAGAACACTGCGACGGTGACGATCTAGGTCTGTGCTGCTGTTAGCCATGTGTGCCTACTGAGTACTTGGAATGTGGCTAGTGAAGCCGAGGAACTTACTTTTAGCTTTTACTGAATTTTAATGAATTTCTATTTCAATCTCAGTAGCAATATGGTAGCCACACGCAATCTTCCAGTCCACCCCTTGCCAGGCACCAGGCCCCAGTGCCCGTGAGTCAGTGAAATTGTAGCCAGGTACATTCTGGGGGCTGCTTTCTAGGGCAAGCCCCCAGTCCACACCTCTGCCCGTTAGGCAGCGTTCTCTTTTCCATGCGCAATTGTTGGTAGCAGCATCCCAGGACACCATCAGCCTCACCATTTACCTTAGCTGCTCTCATCAAATGTTACCTGGCCCAGCTAATCCTTGCTATATGGAAGCCCCCGGACTCCTTGGCAGCCCTCTCCCTGCAGCCACAAGGCCCAGTGATAATTAATGAGAAACTTAGAGATGCCCAGAAGATTGTTGTTAAAGGCTCTTGAAAACGAATGCATGGGCTGGTCAGTGCCTGGTCAGTGCCTCAGGACATACTCGTAAAGGTAAAGAAGTCTGGAGGCTGTTTGCTGGTTACTAGAAGGTTATTACAGGGACACCAGCCCAGTGGAGTCCTGCTTAGACGGTCCAGTCTATGTATAATCATCAGGAACTTGTCTTCACTTAACAGTTTCTGGCCATTGTTTTTTGCTGAGGACAAGAGTGGTCAAAGGCTTTGTGATTTTATCCCATGGACTGTGACCTGTAACCTCAAGATTATTTGTGCTTGTCTTTAGGAAATTTTATTACCAGAATGTTTGTTATTGAAAATCCAGCTTGTTCATGCCAAGGAATGTATTACCTTTGTCCTGAGAAAGCAAATTAGCTTACTAACCTCCTGGTAACAAACTCGCTAACTAGGTACTGTGAAGTATTTAACCTGTCTATTGGGTTAAGTTGTATAAATTCTCTTGCAGGTTAGGAAAACTATTTCTAGACCAGTGGCTCTCAATCCCAACCAAGGACATCAGGATACTTGGGAGTGGGTCCTGGCACAGGTATTGTTTAAAAGCTCACAGCTGATTTCAGGATTGAGAATCATTATTTTAAATTTTCTTCAAAAATAAGAATGAAATGATGTTTATAACTTGTTTTTAAAATACATACAAACTCTTGTTCCTCTATCCAGTCTTCCATGTAGTTTTTCTGCCTCCTCCCTCAGTGTTCAGCAGTAACAAGTCCCTTTCTTTTTCATTTTTTAGATTTTTTTTTTATTGGAGCATTGGGGGAGGGAACAGCATTGGGGGAATCGGAAAAGGGGAACAGACAAGTTGCTGTCCTTTTGTTCTTCAGTCTAGTTGTGGAGGATGCCGCTTCACTGGCCCATGTTGGTATTATCATTGCACTCTTCCCAGGTGAGGCTGATCGGTCACTGGCCATTGGATGGCCACTCACAGCGGCTCTTGGCAGCTCACACCAGCTGCCAGCCACTCATGGTAGCTTATGGCAGCCCACTGTAGCCCCACAGCAGCCTACGCCGTCGCCAGTGACTCACAGCAGCCCAGCTCCAGGTTGAGCTGCTGTTCACCATCTTAGCTGTAGAGGGCGCAGCGTCACTGGCCCTAATGTGGGATCCGAACTGGGGCCCTGCTGCTCAGAGCTGGTGCTCCCAAGCCAGCTCTTAACCAACGAGCCACTCAGACGGCCTACAAGTCCCTTTTTGCTTTTTCTTGGACTGTTGGGGACTGAGCGTTGATTTTGCTTGATTTTTCCAGCAACTCCAGGAGGAAGGGGTTACACAAGGAAATTTGCCCAAGGCCAACACGGGCCAGGATTTGAATCCCTCATGCATGTAATCTGAATTCTGGTGAAGGTCAAGGTCAGAGATGCAGGCACAGGTTCTACATCTAGGCTGGAAATGGATCTGAGATCAGATTCACCCCTCTGTATGACTTCTGCAAAATGGTGTTACTAAGGATGCCACCACTGGTAGAGGTCTCCATCATTGCCCAGACTGGCTTCATCATTTATTCATCAACTATTTATTGAGCATGTACCACCTGCGAGGCCCACTGCCAGGGGCAAGAAGGCCTTGCTGTGGAGACATTTGCCCTCGCGGAGGTAAGTCACACACAGGGAGAGAAAGCTTTTATCCTGTAAGGCAGGAGAGAGTGCGTGCCTAATGAGTGCTACACAGTGAGCTCTGGAATTTCCTCAAGGGCAAGTAGGCGGAAGGACCAGAAGCAGAAAAAAACGTCACTTTGACCCTACAAAGACACAGTGTTTTCAGGTGGAACAAGAATGAAGAGAGAAATTTTAAGGGGCAGAGTCAGGGGTGAGAAAGGGAGAGAGTTCCTCCTTTGGCTCCTGGGAGCAGTTTCTCTTGACTTTCTATAGATTCCTGATGCCAACAGCTGCTGCTGGTCGGATTTCTTCCAGGAGCCCCAGCCCTGGTTTGTGGGCGACTCTTTTTCATGGGTTGGCAGAGCCACCTTGGTTGTCAACCAACCTTGTCCCCAGTCAGCACCAGGAGAAGCTCTGGGGGCTGCCTGGACACAGGCTGAGGTGCTGCCAGCAGGTGCCAGGCTCTTGGCAGCTTAGATGGTTTCTATGAGGGGAGAAGCTCCCAGTTGCTGAAGAGAAATTTCTTCTCTTTTCCCTTCTTCATCCTTCCTGGAAAGGCCTTCTTTAACTCTGTGGAAATAAAAAGGCAAATGGAAAATGACATGGAAAGGTAGAAGGGAGGTGGTATGTGCATGATGTTCAAGGGTGTGTTTGTGCCACGCACAGCATGTGTCTCCACTGTCCCAGAGCCTTTTTCTTGCTCTATTCCTCAGGTCTTACAGTTGGCAGAGACTTGGAAAAGCTGAAGAGTCCAAGAGTTTTCCAACGAGGATCCGAGGCCAGATGCACCCAAGGTCACCCAGCTGGGCCTGAATTGCCATGGACGGGGAGCACCAGGAGAGACCCAGGGCACCACCAATGCCCTTCTTCCAGTGCCCCAGGTAGAGTCAGCCATCCCAGGAGGCAGGGAAGGACAGAGGTGGAGGGTCAGAGTCAGGGGAGGGGCAGGCAGGGAAGTCCCCTGGTATAGCCTGCCCCTGGAGCTTTCTGTCTCAGGTGCAATTGGGCCTTTTTCTCTCTTAACCCTCTGGTCTTTGAAATGATTCGCGCTCTGGTCTCCTCTAGTTAATTGTATCCTGGTATTGCACAGACTGGGAATTGTTTGTTTCCCTACCCAATAGTCAGTTTTCAGTATCTTCTTCTTTTAATCATTTCCCTATCTTGCTAGTTTCTCTTGTTTATTTTCACTGGCTCCATTTTTAGAACTTTTTCAAAGTTCAAAATGTTTTATCAGTGTTTTTATCCTTTCCTTTTAACTTCCCTGTTTCTAGTCATTTAGCCTAATTAAGCCTTTTTTCTGTGTTATTATTTCTTAACATAAGCACAAAGAAACATCTCTCTTCTCGCTCTAATGTCCCACATCTCTCCTTTGTGCCGGTTAAGCCTTCTAGTCTTCCTGCCTGTCCTTTTGGTTCTTTGGGCTTGTTGGTTTTCTCTGTTGTGTGCCTGTGGGTGGCGGCTGAGAGGCGGGGCCTGTTTCACCCCAGTTCTCTTTAATAAATTTCCCATCCTTTAAAAGATGGTTCCTGAAAACCCGGAAGCAGACATTCTCCAGATTCAACACTATTTTTAAAACGTAGTGAATGAGCAATGATGACAAGAGCTGACCCTTTGTGTGACCTGAAAGCCATGATCTTCTTTTTGAATGTCTGAACTATAACACAATTAGTATTAAAAAAGTACTTGGTCAGCTGTGCAACTGGTGCGCACCATGGGTAGGAGGAGGGCGGCAGGGGTCCTAGCTGGCCAAGGGCCTGGGCTTTGGCCTTGGTGGAGAGCCTGACATTGAAAGGCTGAAACGCTATCCCCTCACCTCCCCAGACCCCCCTTACGGTGGGAGGAGAACCATGGAAGAGCACTGGTTGGAGCCTTGGAATTTTCTCCAGGCCAGGCGCCTCTCTTCCGGGTCTTCTCACCATCTTGGCAGGCTTTAGGGAGCATTGCCTAACCCAGATCCCTTCGTTAGCTTCTAGGCGTAAAGGGGGCTGCCCTGTGCCTGAAAAATGACCTAATTGAAATCTTATAAATTTTTCGTTGTGTGCCTCTTCCCCCTGATTACTAAAGAAAACCTGTGCAATATAGATAATTTGGAGATAATTTTTAAAATGTAAAGTAGCCAGGAAAAAATAAAAGGTCACTCATACTTTGAGGCAACCACTGTCACCATTTTAGCATATTTCTTTCTCTGTTTCTTAACATAATTAGGAAAATATACTAAGTAATTATAATATAATGTTTAACAGTATATTGTAAGCATTCTCCAGGCCATGAAAAACTCTTCATCAACATAATTTTTAGCTTTTACAAAATAAACTGTTGGACATTGGGAGAAGTTTACACTTTTTTCTGGTACATTAAGCATTGTGATGAATATCTTTATAAACAAACTTTGTCCACATTTCAGATTATTTTCTTTCTTAGGGCAGTTCCCAGGAAATGTCGTTGCTGCTTACAAGAATCTGAAGATTTTTATAGCTCATGATCAATAATGCCAAAGAATCTTCCAGAAAGGATGCAGGGGCGTTTCCTCACCCTCCCCATATATCTCCTGCATCACTATTACTATGTTTTAAAATCTTTCCTTATTGAATATTTAAAAATGACATCTTCCTGTTTTAATTTGCACATCTTTGATGATGACTGAGGTAGATACTTTTTCCTCAGTTTACTTCTTATTGGCGTTTTCTCCTTTGTGAATGTTCTGTTTTTACACAAAAGGACTTTTTGAACAGGGTGAGTCAACTGTTCTTTTGCTGTATGGCTCCAACATACTGGGATATCAGCTCACTGGGGCTGACCCCAGGGCCACACCAGGCAGTCAGACCATTTTGAAGAAACAATATCTGGTCTTGTGATTAACAAAGGATCCAGCAATTTGCTTAGAAATGAATGATTTACAAATGGATTTTTGTCGGCCTATGAAATAAATCTGGAGGAAGTCCACTTTTATCTTTACTTTAGGAACCCGTGTTATAGGTATATTAGAGCTAATCCCTCTTGGCTCGCCGCCATCTTGGGGATGGGTAACTCGAACCTTAGAAAGGGATCATTTTGTTCTCATCTTAATCCTTGACATCCCAGCCCTGTGACTGGCACTCATAATTATTTGATGGGATTAGAAATTGAGAAAAACGAGATGGGCTGAGGAGTTCTAGAATTCTTATTGTCCAAATATCTGAAACTCCATTTGAATGACTCATGAGAGAGGCTCTTTCTTGCCTCCCCTTCCCCAGAATCACCATTTCCTACCAGACTAAAACAAGTCGAGGCATTTCTGTCTCATGTTTGCTTGGACAGGAGCTATGGAGAAGAACCCCAGGGCAGGTTCTAGAAGAAGCCCATGGACCAGAACCCCTGAGAATCACGTAGGGGCATACCAAATGTGTATCTGATGATAAGCCTCTTAGGGGCGCTAAAAATCTTAACTGCAAGGAGTCCTTATGGCTGTTGGAACACGTGATCGTAGTCATGGGAGCATGCATTCTTCACGGGGGTGATATTGCCCCGAAGGGGGAAAAAACTGGTTCTTGGGGGAAGCGGGGGGCAAAAAATCTGAGCATTACAATGGTCTGTGGCCTTCCAGAGAAGCACAGTACATGGACAGACACACAGTGGTATTAAAATGTTATTGGGAGGGTGAGGTGTGATTAGGAAGAAATATATAAAAGGCTCCTTGGTGGGAGGTGGGTGGATAATCATGTGGACAGGCTGAGAAACTGTCCTGGAGCTACTTCCCTAAACGCCCAGACCCAAGGCCCTCCGTTTAGGCTGAGATTTCATAATGCCAAGGGGACAGACAGATCTTTGAAAAATATTAATCAGACCACATTAATCCCATCCTTCAAGCCCTGCAGTGGTTTCTCTTCTGACTAAAAATAAAAACTTGTCCTCGTGGTCTCCAGGGTTGCCCCTGCCACCACTCCAGCCCCATCTTTCAAGTCCTCACTGGCTGTCACTCAGCTCCCCTCAACTCTCTGGGGCCTCAGGAGGCTTGCATAGGCTGTTCCCTCCTCCAGGGACACACGTCCCCTTCTCAGCCTGGCTAACCCCTCCTCCTGTAAGCCTAGAGGCATCCCCATCCACTCAGTTATTCTCTCTTCATTACACATTTATTTGTGTATATTTGTTCTCTATGTGTCTCACTCCTAAACTCCAAGAGGGCAGAGAGCACATCTGTTTTGTTCACTCTACATCCCACACTTAGCACTGTGCCTGGCACATAGTAGGAACTCAGTGAGTAATAATTGAATACATGAATTAGATTTCAAAAAGCCTAGATTAAACACCAGGTAAAGTCCTCAGCCTCCAGCTCTGCAAAGCCTTCCCGAACAGCATTCACTCGCTAATCTCACCAGCTGCACAGACAAGGTTCCATTTGGAAGCACTCCCGCTGGTGTCTACCCAAGAACAGTCTTTGTTTCCCCAGGCTGTCGGCCCATTCTACTTCTAAATAAGCACCAGGGTCTGTATCTGCTTTACCTGGTGACATAGCTGGTTTGGGCTGTGACCAGTGGCATATAAAAGACCCCTCAGCAAGCTTGTGCCTTGGCTTCTCTGACATAAGCTATCTCACATTCATCTTGATAGCTTGTGATGCAGAGATGAAACACATCCTGGGGACCAAGAGAGGACCCCGGGGGGTGCACCTGGGTGCCTGGAGACTTCCTGACTTTTGCCTGTTTTTTTTTTCTCCTACTGTTTTGTATCCTTCTTCTTACGAAAGCCTTAGATAAATGTGCTCTGTGGAGTCTTGTTAGTGCTTCCATTTATAAAACCCTGTGTAATTGTTGGAGTGATGAAAGTCAAAGAACCAGCCTGAAAGAGACACGACAACTAAATGAGATTCTGAACCAGATCCTCCTGCTTTATAGGATGTTGTTGGGGGCAACAGAGGGGCAGGGGGGACAGACGGGGAGGACTGGCGAAACTTGGATGGATGAAGTCTGAGGGTTAAATGGCAGTCACATATCAACATTGAATGTTCTGACTGGGGTGGTTATATTGTGGTTATGTAGGAGAATATCTTTAGCTGGAGGACATACACATGAAAGCATTTGGAAGCGATATCAACAACTTTCTCGCATATGGTTCAGGAAAAAAGTTCTTTTTCTGGCACTAGCACTTTTTTTGTACGTTTGAGATTGTTCCAAATCACACTCACATACACACATACAATTTTTAAAAATAAGCAATAAAAAGCGATACAAAATAAATATGGACTACTTGGCAACATCTGTTGAGCTTAAAAGCTTCCTGCATTGTGGATGTCAATTAGCTTTTCATCTTGTGCAAACTCACCTGCTGGGAGGAATGGACTCCTGACAGGACCAACTCCAGTAGATCCAATCAATCAGCAAATCATTGTGAGAAGGAATGGGCTGCTATCAACTACTATACAAATTTTAATTATTCTTAGTAAATGGTCTGCAAAATTTAATTGGCTCACATTTAGTAGCCGCATGAAGTATTTTTTTTATTATAAATTGATCCTGGCAGGATCAAAGGGAACTATGTTACCTAAAACTAAAACTTCATTTGGCATTACCGGGATTTTTCTATAGCCAGGTCAAGCACATCTGGTTTTTAAAATGCCCAGGCCAGACCATGACAGTGGTTCTCTCTGTAATTCTGGGGGAGGGCACTTCTCCAATCATTTTTCCATGTACGTGGGTCTCTCAGGCAACATCTCAGAGCACCTCCAAGCAGGCTCTGGGTGGGGTTATTGACAAATATCTGTGGGATAAGTGGGAGTCAAACCAGTAAAGGACAAAGGGAGGAGCATTCCAGGCAGAGGGAACAGCCTCAGCGTGGCCAGGCTGACCCGGGGGAGGTGGCAGGAGTCAGATCCCGAGACCCTTTTATCAGATTTCAGATTTTATCCTCCATGCCCAAGGGAGGTAATGCAGGGCTCTGGGGAGGGTGTGATGTGACTCTTTATATGATGAGCCTTTCACACTAAGTGCTGTGTAGGGTGTCAAGTGGGGAGGGACAGGGGAGGATCTGGGGCTTTTGTAGCTGTCCAGACAAAAGATGATGGTGACCAGGAAGAAGGGGATGGCCATGGGGGTGGAGAGGGATGGGCAGATTCAAAACATATTTTGGAGGCAGAATTGACAGGACTTGTCAAGGAAAATATCCTTGATCTGTGCGAGTCCAGCCTTTGTCCACAGCTCAGGTTAGACATGGGATGTTCCTGGGGGGTCATTTTTAAGGGCTTCAAACACAGTCCCCCCATATAGTCCTCCTGGCTTAAATGGGTTCAGCTGTGGGATCAAGCTAGACTGTCAGAGAAAGCTACAGACTGGGGCCCTGTTACCTTCCTCACGCCTGCTCCCCAAAACTCAGCGTCTTCACTGAGCCTACTGTTGCTGAGAAATGCTTCAAGAAACCATATTAAGTCCCCTCTGGCACTTATTTTAGAAACATTGTCAAGGACTTTGCTGTCACCTTACTCAGTCACCTCTCTAGAGACCAATGAGAGAAATTTCTTCTAGTGCTAAGAAAAGCTTCACTTTCCCCAAAGAACTGGTATTGTTTTCCCTCTCTGACAATAAGAAAAAAATCATTAACAGGGTCGCCCTTTCTGTTGCCAGGAAGCTCTGAGCCAAGTTCAAAGCCTTGGCAGCCACATGGGCCTGCCTTTGCTTCAAACTGCGGCCCCTTCTCCTCCCTCAAACCATCACCCCCACTTCTCTGCCAGGCTTCACATCGATGCACCTTCTTATTATTCCCAATCTACAATTGATTCCTGTTTCTACTGCACTGTTCATTGTTGGGTCTGTTCTTGTGGAAAGCGAAGCCTCTGCAGACGAAGGCGGGAGGCATGGCCGGTCATTCCCTCACAGCCCTCACTGGCCCTGCCGTGACGCGTTAGCAGCAGCTGGAGGACACTCTCTGCCTCTCAGCTGTTTCACAGGAACCCCAGCCTGTTTGGCCACCCCTCCCTGACACTGTGCCCAGAGGCCCCTTACCTCCTCTCCATTGCCACAATGGTCTCCACCAGGGGTGCATTGCGGGTCTCAGCCAGGAAGCAGACGGCCAGACCAGCCAGGATCGAGGTGGCCCCAAAGCACACAGGCGGCAGGATAGCGCTGAACTCCCCAACCGTGGTGATCAGGGGCGCCACCAGGCCCCCGAGGCGGGCGTTGACTGAAGCAAAGCCCATCCCCATTTGCCTGTCGGAGGAATGTGGACAGGTCAGTGGCCGAGGCCTGGACACCCCCAAAGGGCTGGGAGTGCCAGGGGGCAGAGCAGAAAGGAAAGAGGGGTCCTGCTGGGCTTGCTAGGAATGTCAACCAGAATGCCAGGGGCTCCCAGACTGGGGCAGACACTCCTCTGCCTCCCCCAGGCACCCACCTGATCTCCGTGGGGTACAGCTCTCCTGTGAACAGGTACACGCAGATGAAGGAGCTGGCCAGGCAGCCTTTGCCCAGCGCTGCCTGGGCTGTCCGCAGGGTTTGCATATCTGGTGGTGGGGAGGGTGGAGTGGAGGGGGAAACAGAGCTGTGGGAGGGGGTGGCTCAGAGCCCAAAAGGGGAGCAGGGAGGCAGAGGTGGGTAGTGGTGGGGGTAGAGGACACAGGAGGGGAAGGGGTGAGGGGAGGGAGCAGGAGGAAGCTTAGAGGTGGTGGGCAAGGAGCCCAAAACCAGGAGAGAGAGAATTAGGATTTCCGCCACCTCACGTTCCCCCCTGGGACCTAGAAGTCCCCACACTGCCCTTCCCTGACCTCTGCCTCCTTCCTGTCCTATTTCCATCTGTCACAAAGTCCTTCTGGGGAGCCAGAACAAGCTTTGGAGTTAAACTTGGTTTCAAGTCCCTTCTCTGACCCAGCTGAGTGAAGTTGTTCACTATTAACCTGTGCTCACTGGTAAAATGAGGAAAATACCAGCACCTGCTTTGTGGGCTT